TGTTATCCCGGTTAAGGCGGGGCGAGGCCATTTACTACTCCATTTAATTTTTTTTTGTTAAGTTTTTGATAATTTATTTTATTGCGTCCAGTCATTAGATTGAGACAAATAATTTTAGTTGTAATTTTCTATTAGAACTAACGAAATTTCATGAAATTTTTCATTTAAAATATTTAATTCTAAAAAAAATTTAAAAATAAATAGACGGGACATGACATCCTTTACCGTCCCCTCCCCGAATACCCGATTAAGCGGGTAATTCCCGCCTCGTTCAGGACGGGGCCACACGGGTATCGAAGTGATAAGAGAAAGAAACAAAGTGAATCATAAATGTCGATATATCATGATTTGAATGATTCAAGGTACAAAAAGTCGTGATCTAAATAGTCAAACAGATTACATATATATAAAATTGCTTTAATTACTAAGTCAAGACAAAACCTACCTGAAAAGGCCTGGTGTACCATTCAGAACTCTGACTAATCAATTATTCAGGTAATAACTAACAAGGTCGGCCACAGTTAATAGTTTCTGTTTAGCCTGCCAATGTCTCTGGCGTCATGCGTTACGTGATCATACTTCATTAATACGCATTGACTGCGACAAAACACGCATTGAAGGAACTAGGAAGCTTCTTATTTGAATTTATGGAATTACTGGTGAAGGTTTTTTCAATTATGCAGGTACCCAACAATTACATGAAGGTCACACAGACGCCTGCTCATTTCTTGCACTTGGCTGCTACTGCATCATCGCCTACGAAAATGTGTTTTGATCCAACATTTTTTGTTCTTGTAAGAAAATTTAGAAACCTAACCTTTGAGTGTGAGTCATTTTCTCCTCCTCACATGGGATGTCCCATGGTGCTTGTAGATGAGGTAATCATAGTGTAGACAGAAATTTGTTTGGTTCAATAAAAGAAAGTCCAGGTGGAGGGAGACAGTAAGGCCTACAATCCATTGGCTTAGCAGCGTGACAATGACAACCTCATACATCAAATACATGTGCGTGCATACTGTGCATGTTCTATTGGTGATTTATAATCACTTCTAATCAAAGATAGTTTTTATCTACACTAGCATCCATAATTATCCATAATTATCATCCACTTTCCAGTGTTAAAGAGTAAAATTCAGATGTGTGAAATGGGAAAGCTGACTTGATCTGCCTGTCAGCAAATATGTACACCAAACGAAGATGCCAAAACAATGAAACAATGGAAAATCGTACAGTAACATGACGAACAAAAGTAGGGAGTAATGTCAATGATAGAAGTTAAGAGGCAAACATGATTCTGACCAAGTTGCCAAATCTATAATCGTGAGAAGGACATAAATGGTTGGGTAGCCAAGTAATATTCTGAAACCTAAACGTTAATTAACCAACGCAACGATAATGCAGTAAGCACGTGTTCCAACAAGAAATTTGTGACATTAATTTCCCTTTATCACATCCCAGGGTAACTAAAAAAATAAAGAAGAAATTGATCATTATTCATAAGAGAATCTACTCAAATGCAAAGATACCAATTAAAATGTAAAATTCCATTGAGTGGAGATCTGCAAAAGCAGTTCCATCATCCCTTCTGGAAGTCGAGACACTGATGAATGATACTAAAGCTCAAAACAGGATTGGAAACCTGGTAATTACATGACAGTAATCACACAAGTCTATTTTGCTCAATCTTTGATTATGCTCATCCAAAGATATATTTTTATTCCTCATTTCTCTTCCAACATAAACGAAGTACAGGATAGAAGTGATGACAACTCATCTGGTGTTGCAAATCCAGAACCTTGCCATCGGATTCTACCAAGTTTGTCGATCAAATAAATATACCTGCATATCATCAATGCTTGTCATACTCCAATTAACTTGATTTGGCTAATCATGGTGGAAAGTTGAATAAATTTTAAGAACACAAAAAAGAAAAAAATAGTGAGAACAGTAGATACCCAGTAAGAAGGTTCAATATTTTAAGCTCCTTTCTGAAGTCATAATGATCGCCAAATGAGTAAACTATCTGTGGTTGCACTACATTGTTCCTCTCTGCAGGCTTAGATTTCCTCATTATCCGAAGTAGAATCTTCTTTATGGGATTGCGAGTCAATAACCATGAATCTATAAAGGATACCTAGATGTGAGAAGTTGTTCATTAGAAGTTGTACAAAAAATGACCATATAAAGATGATAGTAGTTCACTACAAATATAAAATTAAACAACAAATTATGGCGAAATATTCTAGCCAATAATTGCAAAAGATGAATTCATTTTAGACATCCATGTCTCCTTCATATCCCTTGGGACGACATGGATGAATTCTAGTAGTAGGCAAACACCTGGGCTTTTTCGCGTAACCTCTTGATTACTTCTTGGTTAGTTTGTCCAAAATTGATAATTTCTAGCAGAATATAAAAAATTAATGTTGCCATTCTATCAAAAAGAGTGTCCATTTTACCAATAGAGATCCTTTTGATGTTAAAGTAGTTGCCAGCATAAATGGTCAAAGCAAAGATCAAGGCACGCCTGACAAATTTAACTTTATCACCCACACTTTATTAAATCAATTGAATTTATCTCCCTCCTTAAAAACAAAGTGCATTCCTGTTTCTTCTCACAACTAACTACCTTGTTTTCAACTAAGACAAAAAGCATCAAAGATACATTTTGAAAGTCAAGTTCGGAGTGGATTAAACTTCAATACATGTTTTCTCCACAGGAATACATAAAAAGATAAGATTCCTAATTATCTATGGATTAATTGACCTTCGGTCTAAATACAGAATCATAAGGGTTCACTTTGACTTGAAACTTTTAACTACTAAAGTAGATCAAATATGAAAACAATGCAAATCTTTTGAATTGTAATAGATTATTTCTATTAGGTTTGAAAATTACAATACCTCGTATAACTGAACACTTTTAGATTGGCCAAAAGCATCAAGGAAGGGCATGCTCCAAGAATCAACCATCACCTTTTAGGAAAAAGAAAGTTTAAAATGCTGAATAATCCGCCGATGATTTCAAATTTCTACTAATTCTTACACATCTACCTTTCTATTCGAGATAACTCAAGTGTGCACATGCAAAGTGTGATTCAATGAGTGCTCCAGATAATAATGAACTTATTTGATTTAAAATGTCCTTGCAGTAGAAGACCACCTAAAAACTTGTATTTAATCAATCATTATTTATCTACATCATTGTAATTCTTTCATCTGCTAAATGATTTTTTTTATTACTGTCGATAAAAGTCGAGATACTTTTAGTCTTTATTGCTACTCTTTCATCATTGTAATTTGCCTATCATTGGAACTTTTTCATTACATTTAAGAAAATTAATTTTTTATGTGTTGTATTATTTTGTATAATTATTTTTAACCTCACCAAGTATCAAATCCAAAATTTCAATACTAACCATTGATACTTTTCTTTTTCAAAATTTGTTATAATACTAGTCCTACTATTCAATGCTGAAAAGCATTAGAAGTTCACCTTCCAATCTATAAATATTGTCAGGTGCTTCTCTCTCTCTTTTTTTAATCACTCAAAAAAAATTCAACTTACTAAACCATTGATCTTTCCTCCCAAGCGTTTTCGCATATAGGTCACCTCCCAATCTATGAATATGGTTAAGTGCTTTCATGACTCAAAATCTAGTCAATTTACTAAATCGCCAATCTTTCCTCCTTAATGTTATATCACGTTTAGTCTTACAAAAGTGGATGCTCTGAGTTCAGTGACTAAATGGTTAATCAAATAGAAACAAATTTTTTGAAGTTTCCTAATAAAGGACAATTTGATTTCAACACAATTTCTCAAATGCTTCCAAGTAGAGCAAAATGGATAAATGAACTTTGCTAAATCAAAATAATTTTGTTTGTGGTTGAAGGAAAACTGAGTTTTGTCACTGACATTCAAAAACCAATAATTCTACATTCAGCTTAAGTATAAAAGCTTCTAACTAGCTTTAGGAGGTGCAAATGGAGGGAAGAACTTTATGCTGAATTATGAATGAAACTATTGGCCATTTTCCACACACTGCCTCTTTTTCCAATTTTCATTTATTCTTGCTCCTTTTTTTCTCTAGAGGGAGTGTGTAAGGGCCTTTTAGAGTTCAGACTTTGCTACATCAATTTCTTTTTATTGTTTAGCTGGATGAGTTACATGTACAAAAACTGCAATAAACAATTCTCTCTCTTCATTGTATGAGTAAAGAAAATATTCGTCAAAAAAACAAAGGGAAAGCAACACAATTGAAATGAACAGAAGGGTTTTCTCACCTGCGAGCTCGCACGAAATGATAAACAAAGCACTGATGCCTTGGGAGCATCTGATTTGGCCGTATTAGCATTCTCAGAAGTAATGGGCAGCTTAATGCTTATCCCATCAGGATAACTAACTTCTGTTGCAGGAAACTTCATAGCTGTCATTGCGGGAACTATAATCTTATTCGCCATTGCAATCTACATATCACCACACTCACAAAATTCATCATAACATCTCAATCTCAACATCTTCAAAATCCACACTTTGCTCTCAAAACCCATATAAAAGATAGAATCTTATCCAAACCCCATCCAATAAATGCACATTACCATACCTTACCGCCATGTTGTTTCATTTCCGAAATGTCAGCAAAGTAACCCCTATTCATCTCATCTTTACTGTCCTAAATCACACATCAAAACATTTACGTATAACTAAATGCAACATCACAGTACATAAAAACTTTCAATAAGATGCAAACAAGTTAAGTTGGAAATCAAATTACTCACAGCCTGGCACGTTCTTTCTCAATTGCCTCCTTATTTCCAAACTGCAATCAAAGTAACCAAATGGGTCGTTAAGAAACGACAAAAAGTTGCATTCTTCGCAAAAAACCACTCAGAAAAAGGTCAAATAACCCCTTTTTGGCTTCTAAAAATGAAAATAGAAAACTAAAACTTCTAGAGCATAATCTTCAATGACATATTAATGAAACCAACATGATCGTAGCTAACATTTCCATTTTCCTTTCATTTTCTGGAACACCAAATTGGTTGCAAATCTAAAATACCAACCTGATAGATATCAAGGAAGCGTTTGGAGCTCCATTGAGATGGATCCCGAAAAGAGATTACAGGAAGCAGCTTATCTTCTAGCTTGGATAAGTTTCTCGCATGGTGAATTGTGTGTCTTTGTGAAAGCAGCCTCTTCAATCCCAGCATCTTCAATGCTCTGCCGAGATTGTACGCTTGATTATTTTCCTTCGGTTCTTCCCCTTTTATGAAGTTTCTTCGAGTGGAATGGAAATTTGGCTTAGATATCCTTGTGCTCAATGAGCTGGGCTTTTTGCAAGTTATTTACTCTCAGAGAGAGTTGGCCCATTAAAATTTAGAACCAAAGCAAACTTTTAGGTAAAATTACCTTAAAACCCGCATTTAAAGACTAATTTTCATAAGGAAAGTAGTTTATTTTAAAATTCATATATCAGATTGTAATTAGATATTATTAATTGTAAATAAAAATTTAACTAAATTTAATCTATATAATAACCCCTCCATTCCCACCCACCTGAACACCCAAATCCAGGATCATTCTCTCTTTACCAACACTCTACCCGTCCCCAATCTCTGCATCATCTCTTCGGCGGAGCAAAATCGCCATAGAAAGCAGTTGCATGTGCAGCACCTTGCTGCGCAAGGCAGAGCAAAACCGCCACATGCAACGGTTCACCACTCTATCCACCTAAATTCAAACATCAATGGCCATAAACGGCTATATTTTTCTCTATGTGGTTGTCGCATTGGCTCGCATAGTTAATGAAGTCACATGGCCTTTAGTCCTGGTATATGGCTATGTGACCACATGCCATATTGAATTATGCCCTCAAAATCCTTTTTTTATTCCACAATCAATTTTATTAACTTTTGAACAGTATTTTCAACAATCCCTCACTTGTTCAAAATTTTAATAAAATCTCATATTCAAAAATGTACAATACTTATGCATCATGATTATATATCTTTCGATTCGAATCTAACTATAGTGTAATTCAAACAAAGTAAAGTCGAAATTAAATGTAGCATGAAAGTTTTGAACCAATTATTCCATATGACAATACCGATAAGAACACACACAAGTATTACGTGTTCTCAAGTTCCTCAATCTAGCTTAGTGTTAATATGGTTTTGCACTCATCCATTTCAACAAATTTTTAAGAGAAAAACTCTTAACTCTCTATGGGAGCGGCACCACCTCGAAGCTCATCTAGGTAAAGTTCTTCTGGTATCTTTGTTACTTTTAGAAATACTTGTACTTAATATTGAACTTCATTTAAGAGCATTAAAACTCAACCATCATTTCAGTAACAACCAACATTATTTAATTAGAATAAGATTATTGCGGATTATGTAATGCTGAAACTATCTATATATCGAATGACTTGTTGCTACCTTTTGAACCCGTGGATTACTTGATAAGTAATGATAGGTAGAGTTGCTACCATTGATGGACTTTTAGTTCAAGAGTTTTAACCACATTCTAGTGAAAGTAGACGTCACTAAATCTCTATTTAAAAGTTTAGTTAAAGGATTTACTAAATTTTCAATTAACTTTAACATAATTTAGGAAAATTATTCAATCCTTGATTAATTTCCTTATGTAGTCATATCTAAAACTCATATGTCTAGACTTTCCGTTGTATATATCATTGTATTCTTTTGATAACGTGGCTTGACTACCGACATGATAGATATTGATGATGTAATCTTTGGTCCTAAAGGTATCTCATAGAGTAGATCTTTAAGCCACTCAATTTCTTTCTCAGTTTCTGATAGTGCTACAAATTCATATTCTATATTTGAGTGTGTTATACATGTTTGTTTCTTTGATTTCCAAGAAACGGTTCCTCCTCCAAGAATAAACACCCAATCGGAAGTAGATTTACTTTCACTCATACTAAATATCCAACTAGCATATGTAAATCCATCCAATACAGCCGGGAATTTAGTGTATTATAGACCTAAGTTCTTAGTTTTCTTTAAATATCAAAGAACTCTTCCAATAGACTTCCAATGGTCATTGCTCGAATGACTAATAAACCTACTAAGCTTACTAATTGCAAATGCTATGTCCGGTCTTGTGCATTGAATTGCACACATTAGACACCCTATAACACTTGCATATTCCAATTGAGCAACTGTCATTCCATCATTCTTTATTAGTTTTGAACTTGGATCAAGATGGGTACTATATTCTTTTATGTTCAAGTGTTTGAACTTATTTATTACATTCTCGATATAATGTGATTGACTTAAATGATAACCCAGGGACAGATCCAGGACCAAATTGCAGGCTAGGCTAATACGTAAAAAAAAAAAAAAAA